TTGAATCAAAATATAAGTTTTTTTTTTAAATTTTGAAAAAGAAATGAATTATACACTGTATTCAACTTAATTATACTATGTTTTAATATATTGCTGTAATTTTTAGCAGTAACAACAAAAAAAAAATATTATATAAAATTTTTTCCATAAATTAATATTGCTATAAAATTTCAAGCTATGCAACTAATTATACTTCGTTTTATCTTTTGTCACATAATTTTTGCATTATTTGCTTCAATTTTATTACCATATATTTTTATAAAACTAAAAATAATATTTTTTTAGTAAACAAATTTGTTTTGTATAAAATTACTTTCTCTAACTTTTGCAATAAAAATATCAGAATTTTTAAATTTTATTAAGAAAAAAAAAGTTATTATACCTATTACCATAAGTTTCGTTAAACTTTTATTTGCTTTACATTTCTTTCAATAATTTTTTTGCCGTAATTCTCTTTCCATTAAATTTTTGCCATAACATTATTACCATAATTTTTTTGCAATAAAATTTTTGCTATAATAATATAACCATAATTTGATAGCTATAAAATGTTTTCTATAACAATATTACTATAATTTGCTTGCTATAAAATTGTTGCTATTACATAATTACCATAAATTTTTTAACATATTTTCTATCATATTATTACCATAACTGTTTTGCCATAAGATATTTGTTAAAACAATGTTACCATAATTTTCTTACTATAAAATGTTTTATATAACATTTTTACCATAATTGGTTGCCATGAAATTTTTGCTTTAACATCATTACCAATAATTTTTCTTAAATTTTTCTTCTATACAATTTTTAGACAGCAAATATTTTGGTTTACATTTACCATAATTTCCTGACATTTTGTGCCATAACATTTTTTCACAGTAAATGTTTTGCTCTACATTTGTTGACCATTATTTTAACTCGTAAGCCAGAGCCTTAAAAGTCTCTGAATACACTTAAACTTTGGTGCAATATATCAATTTCCTTCGGTAAACATGTTATATGTATTATAACTTTTTAAATCCATTATGCCTTGGCTAACTAACTAGTAAAAATAAGAAATATATTTCAGTAAAAACAGTCACTTCAATCATTCAAAAATGAAAACCGCAACCACTAATTTGCCATTTTCTTGCTTGTGTGATATAGAGGAAATGCACATGCTGGCAATAAATAACAGTAATATGTTTTTACAACTAATATGCATAGCGAAGTGCAAAAGAAACTCGCTTTGTGCACGAAAGATTTAAGTGACAAACCCGATTTTTCATATTTCAGAGTTGCTTAGTGGCAAATTGCGGTTTTTGCACGGATGTTATTAAATATTATGCTGAAAATAGTTGGGTTGAACGATTAAGGTAAATGAAAGTGGGGTTTAGACGGAATTTGAAATAAAAAAATCTTGATAGTTATGAGATACCATATTGCTAAAGGATAAGTACTACTTATGGACAACATGACGGCAGTTCATGTGGTATCACTAAGGACCAAAGTTCGTCTGTGCGTGGTTATTAGCCTACTTATAATCAAGTATATCACGGTTCCACGAGATGCAACTTTATTTGCATCGATCCGTATTCCAGCTTGTTGCTTATATAATTATTATAATTATATAATATCTTATATAATATTGTTATATTAATGAACACAAATTGAGAACCAAACTTTTGAAACTGAAGATAATATTTTGAATCTCATTTGTTTTGCGATCTTCTAGTTACTAAATTTTAAGCAGTGTTACTTCTGCTTCAAAAAACTATTCAAGTTGAATGTTTATATTTCGAATTTAAGACTAAAATAAGACTTTCCAATTCAAATTATACTTCTCTTAACACAGGCTGCACAACTAAAGCAATACGTACGAACTTTTGCAATAAGACGTTTTGCTATAATTTTTTTCTATATATTTTCTTCGCTATAATTTTTCCAGTAATTTAATTACCATATAGTTTTTAAAAATAATCAAGATTTTGTTTTACTATAATTCTTCCTATAATTTTTTTACCATAAAATTTTTTGTATAAATTTCTTTGTTTCTATTGTTTTGTTTTGCTATAAAATTATAAGAATTTATTTTACAAGCATTGGTGTAGTTTGAAGCACGAGCTCTCCGATGCTTTTTATAGACCACGATCATATTGCTAAAACATTCAGTGCTATCCTTACGCACGAATGTTGATGAAATTCATTCGATTTCATAATATAATATTATAATCTGCAATATCTGCCATTGCTCGCACCTGTTTTGATGGTAGGATTCTATAAATTGAACTTGTATCATAATTTATGAAGTTATAATGACGGAATACTAATACATAACTAAAATACACGATGCCACAAGCTCTAAAAAGCACTTATGACTACCCAAAAACCATCGACTTTGAGCAACAAGCCACTCGAACGAAAGCGAAAGTATCAGAATTTCGCTTTCGATCGTAAAATATTTAAACAAAAAATATATAATCATGAATAACTTTCATAAGCAGATGTCACTCGTCGATTATTGCTCGTTATAAAGTACGCTGTGGACTATCAGTTGCTCAGTAGAAATGATTAAAGACGACGACGATAAAGCGATGTGTCACGTCTTTCTCAGTTTATATATTTCCAACAAAAAATTTAGAAATATAAATCGTAAAACCATTCAGGCATAAAAACGCAGTGGGACAGGTGCTACGCTGAAAATTTCATATGTACATATGTATTTGCGACACTCAGCTTGAGAGAAAAAAAAAAGTAAATAATTCAAATTGCTTTTACGCTAAGCGTAGCTGGCATGAGAAGAGTGTAAAGACTGTGTAGAGTCTGCGCTGTTGTTGTTGGCGCATGCGTGCACTTTTTCTAATTCAAATGTTGACGTTCGCGTTTGTCACTTTTATTTTCATTCATATTTACATATGTCTAGGTATGTATGTCTTTTTATTAAGTGTTGTGTGTGGCTGTTGTTGTTGTTTTTTTACTTTTCTACTTTTTTGGCTGAAGTTTTATGTATTTAAGACTTTCTGCTTTGCATATGTGAATTCAGCTAATGGCATAACTATGTTAGTTGAGTTTTAAGTATATTAGGGTGGCACTTAAAATAAAAAAAACATATTATTTTTTCTAGCCGTTACGGATAAATTTGTAAAGTTGCGTTCCTCTTAATGACTTAATTATAGTTTTTGAGATTTTAACTTATTAGGGTGATCCTTAAAACTTTATGAGCGTACCCTAATAATTATGCAAAACAAAATAAATAACAAGAAATTATTATTAACCGTTTAGTTTGTTTATGTTAGGAGAATGGTAAGACGTCTGACGTAATTGTCTGACGTAGTCGTACGAAATAAAAGAATTAGCGTACCCTAATAATAAATAAAAATTAGTAAATAAATAATTAAAATCAATAATAAATAAATAAAATGCCAATAAAATAATAGTTTTCACGAAAAATTCGGCGTTTATACCTACCATAGATTTTATAGTGGATGCCCTAATAATGACTGAAATTTTTTGTTTTAAATTTCAATAATTTTTTTACAATAAAATTGGTAATCAAAATTTTATATTTGCATCATATATCGAAATTTGTACTGCTTCTGTCTATACAACTGCAAAATATTTTGATGTCGCTTGATTCTTCAAATTCAAAAAAGTGATCACTCGAATGTTATATTATAATATTAAAACTTTACACTGCTGTGGACCGTGCAACTGCGAAATATTTTGATTCTTTAATTATGCGAATATAAATCCACACAAAAATTCAAAAATTAAATAAATAAATAGTAAGGGCAATGTAAATGTATATTTGCCAATATAAAAATTGTAAAAAGTACAATAGTTATCATCCAATTCATTTC